GCTGAGCTGCTCGCATTTGAGATTAATGTGAGAAAAGACTTTAAAACAGAAAAAACATTGAAGGTGTTTGCTGTTGAGTGTGTGGGCTCCCACCTGAACCAGGCAGAATGTTAATGACACCCTTGGGCAGTCCTGCCCTTGCTGCCAACTCAACAAACTTCAGAGCTGTGAGCGGAGTCACCTGCAAACACACATACATGTTTGGAAATGTGTTTTTCAATCTACTCGACAGTATTTACTGCAGGCTACACAGCCATTTTCATTTAGGCCTGCCTGTATAGACAGGGCCTGACTGACCTGAGCAGGTTTGAGGACGATTGTGTTTCCAGCTGCCAGGCAGGCGGCCGTCTTCCAGGCCAACATCATCAGAGGGTAGTTCCAGGGAATCACGATGGCACACACTCTGACAGGAGACACAGGGAGGACTTCACTGTCTGTCTCTCTTCATTTATTTATATACTAAGGGGAAAGGATGCTGGTATGATTCAAGTTTAAGGTGTTATATAATATTTCTTGCTTCTGATCAGCATTTATTTACATAAAGTTATTTATTTACTCAGTGGTGGAGGGATACCAATTATACTAATCTGGAAGAACCCATCCTGTGCACAGGAACACTGGATAACCACATAGCAGCAGCCACTCCTAACATATGGTAAGAATTTACCAGTTTACAGCAAACTAAAAGTTGTGTCTATTTATGAAATATAAACATGTAAGCTATAATCTCAAGTAACACATCTAATGTAAATATTTTGTATGTCAATCTCACCCTATTGGCTCCTTCTTGGTAAAGGTGAGGTTACGATTGGGTCTGGCCTGGTTGATGGGGATGGTGCTGCCCTGTGGGAAGAGGACACAATTTATTTCCATGTATTTCCAACATGCTTTCTGCTGCTTATAAGCCATATAGTAGTATTATTCAGTGGCAGCATTTATCGAATGTCCAACTCATATTATGAGTGACACCACTGTGACGTTTTGAAAGCTGATTTCGTACTTGGATCTTGTCACACCAGCCAGCGAAGTAGCGGAAGGTCTGGATGGACATGCCCACGTGAGTCTTGAGGGCCAGCGTGTAAACAGCTCCGGAGTCGATGGCTTCAATGGTGGCCAGTTCCTCCTGGTGCTGCTCCATGAGGTCAGCCAGCCTGCAGACAAGGAGGAAGAGTCACTCCCACCGTGAAACGAATAAAACGGCAATTTGTTTTTCTTCTCAGTGGCCACGGAAAGACAAAATATGCCGCCTGCAGCCGATCACATTGAAAGTGACAGCATAATATAAACACAAAGCAAATAGATGGCATGTCTTTGGACTGCGGGCCTGGAGAAAACCCACTCACACACAGGGAGAACATGCAAAGTCCACACAGAAAGACCCAAACCATACCAGGATTCGAACATCAAACCCTCTTGCTGTGAGAGTATTAACCACTGCACCACAGTGCCCATGCTTTGACTGTCATCAGCTTCTGGTTCAAATGTAGCCAAATGTGATCGCCGTGTTTATTGACATGACATGACATTTTCCCTAAACTGAGCCCTGTACAATTAAAACCAGTGAGAGGAGCTCAGTGAAATAAACTGTATAAATTATTTATATGACATAACAAAAATTGTATCTCTGGCAGAAAACCTTTGTGTTCATATGTTACTGACTTGTAAATGAGTCTGCCTCTGTCTCTTGGGTTCATTTTGCCCCACTCTCCCTCCTCAAATGCCTCTTTAGCAGCAGTCACGGCCTTGTCCACATCATTTATCTGGGCCAGCGACACATCACAGATGACCTGTGGGACAGAGACAGGTTCAATATACATGAGTGATCACCTTCCCTCTCTGTGGGATCAGTTTGGTAGAGAATATTATGCGTAATATTTTTCATTTTTTTATTTGGATCCTGGTGAAGTCTGAAACAAAGGACAAATTTGAAATCTGACTACTCAGACCACAATAGTGGCCTGGGACATATGTCGCCACATTCTTTTAGCTGTGAACACACCACAGTGACGTTCTCTGACCTGCATTATGAACCAAGAGTATATTACGTCTGGCCACTGCTGCCACTGATCCCCACATATGGATTTTATATTTTTTGTATTATTTCTAAAGAGAAGAAGAGTCAAATAATGAACCATTTCACAGTAGAGCTGAGCACAGTGCATTGATTCAGTCAGCTGCACCTGTAGATTTGACCTTTTTACTGAGCAAAATGCTCAATATATATATATATATATATATTTGTGGTTTCTATTGCTACATATTATCAGTAGTATTTACATACTTACACAATTTGAAACAATTGTTACTAATAGATTACAGTTGTGGGGGAGGTATTCAGCTCTTCTACTACTACCACAGAGTACAAATATTTATTATGAGTACAACTCTGAAAGTTTTATTACTTAAATGTATCCCAAAGTAAAAGCACCAACTGCAAATATAAGTAAGAGTAAACTTTGAACTATTCTATTCTCTACGTCACATACACACACAAACACATAACAGGTACTCTGTTATCTGCACAGTCAAAACGGCTTCAGTCAAATGGCTTCATAAAAACATAATTTGGTCTTTGTGAACTTTGTCACTTCTTTGTGAAAGATGAAGCTCTTTGTTTATTTGCAGATACGTAGAGCAGGGAAGTGTGATCTGTTCCCAGTGGTCAGTGAGCGAGTGGAGACACCTTCTAATGCCAGGTGTGAACTGAGAGTGGTCCACTTGTGACTGTATCACATAGAGGGAGATGTCTGAACATAATATGACGGGTTTGTCTGTCTCTTACTGTGCCGTCAGTCGGGTTGATGGTCTTGTAGGTCTTTCCTCCCTCAGCATCAACAAACTCTCCATTGATGAACAGCTGATGAGGCATTTTTATGGTCATATGGTTTATGTCCTTCTCTACCTGAGGAAGTAAACATTGTTACATGATCAACATGCTGTCTTCCCTTGGCCAACCAGTGATTAGTATCAGCGCAGGGCTGTCTGAATTTTAATTGAACCTACATGATCAACGACCAGCTCCTCTTCACCATCCTCCCCTCTGAGCTTCCTGACGCACATCTGGATGAAATCATGGAAGGTGGTGTTCATGTAGATGTCTTCATTCTGCAGCTGGCAGCTGCTGGTCCGGAGCTTCACCTCTTCTACGAGCCTGAAGAAAACCACAGAAACAAGAGACAGAAGAGGAGAGAGTTATTCTGCTTTGATCTGATTGTAGCCAGAGCCGTTTGGAGCCTTCAGTGGTATTGCACTTGAAGGAAGTTATGCATTGGCTTTCCTTTTCAGACCTCGAGTCTATGTCGATCTTGATATACAGTTCATGGGTTGATACTTATTTTCTACTGTGAAAACTCAACCACATAGAAACACATAACAAGAAATCAAAGTACAGCTGCAGTTCTTTGTTCACAAAGACACCATCTTGTTATAGAATTTGTACAGACACTGTCTCCTGTCCTTGAGACGTAGTGCAGCTCTGTCGTGTTCGGGGAAGTGCAGGAGCCATGGCCAAGGTAAAAGGTCAGGGCTGCTTCACTCCCTAGACACCACGGATATGAAACTGCGTAGTCAGGTAATACTGCCTCTAAAACTAGAAAACACATTTACTTGTTTAGAAACTAGCAAACCAAAGGACTAAATGATCTGTAGGGCTTTAAAGTGTGACCACATGAGATCAGACTTCAGATATGAGAGGACAGAGTGCACAGTTGTGATATTGATGGACTTCTCCTTGGCCAAGCTTCAATAAATATTTCAGCATAAGAAATCAGGGGACTCCTGAACACTTTCTTCACTGATAAGGTTGATCTGCAGATTTTCCACAACGAACCTCTCCAACTAGCTTTGTTTTTCTCTTGCAGATGTAATTGGTAAAGTTCTGTACATAGAGCAACCCATAACTGTTTATTTGGAGTTGTTAGCACTAACATTCTAACCTCTGCATCCATTACTTTTGAATGTTTGTAATTTGTAATTCTGGTAATCATGTTCATATAACATTTCATTTCTAGTTCAGTTTAACATATAAATAAACAAAAATAAGAAATTAACAAGAGCAACACACCATGTGACATCATTTCATTACCTGACCACATCCATGGAAGTAGCACCAGACTTGAAGAAATCAGTGGCCTCTTCAATTTGACTGACATTGCTCAGAATGCCCTGCCACACTGCCTGTGAGGAAACATGGTCAAAAGTCAACATGAAGGTTTTCTTTTTTCTTTTTTTGAGGACAAATCCACATTTCATTACTGATCGAACGTGACCCACCCTCATCTGTTCAGCAAAGGTCTTCTCCTCCTCGGTGAGCTCCACAGCAGCGCTGCTCCCTGAGCTGAAGTACTGTGCTGCAGCGATCATCTTCCCATCCTCAAACTGCAGATTCTTCACCAACAGCTGCAGAGACACAGAGAAGGAGGGCATTTTTAGATTATTAGATTAACAGCTGGGTGAATGTGACACCAGTTCCCCCCCAAACCTATGTTAACAACCATCAGATCAGAAGGGTTATACTGACAGTCTGTGTATTTTGTGTGTCAGCAGGAGAAACCGTCTCAAGTCATGTGACAGTTTTTCAGTTAAAACACGATAAGATAAAATAAGACAATCCTTAATTAGTTTGACGATGGGGAAATGTGCCATGATACAGCAGCAATGGGGATAGTTGAAAAAAAATAGGTATAGATGTAGAAATGACACATATTTGTAAAATAAATATGAAGTAAACAAAACTGCACATATAAGATACTGAAAATACACAGACAAAAATGAGTATTGCAGTTATGACGTAACCATGTATTTCTTACTCTGTATACAAATCGGATACATGTTGCCTACTGGCATCATAAGTGTTGGAACAGTCTAACAGACACTAAAGGTGAATCAGTCTGTCACTGAAGGACTGGGACTCATCAGGATGACAGCTGTCATCATTCTCCTCTGTCCCACCAACTCCACTGGATTAAAGTGGTGTCCCAGCACCGAGCTGGCCAGTCCGTCCAGCAGACGACTCCAGAGAAGAAGGCTGATGCCCCCTGCTCTGGGATCATTATTGTGTTGATGACACTGATGACTGGACACGACCGTAGAGTCTTCTTAAAGTTTATTAGGCAGACTGGATTGACTGGCGCTACACACTCCGGGACAGACGGTGGCGGTGTAGCACCGATACGTTGTTTGCCAACCGCCATCACACACAACAGAGAAAGACACAGCGGAACACGGCATCCTGCACTTCTCGACCAAGCGGAGGTTCGACCGCTCAGGATGGCTGACCCCACGCTGCAGTCCTTCAACGTGTTTCTCACGGAGAGGCTGTCCGCTGCTGCGCTGGACATCTACGGCTTCGTGGAGAAGACTCTGACGGACTACCAGGAGGAGGTGAACCGGACCAGACAGGAGAACCGGAGGCTGCAGCGGCTGCTCGACCTCCTCTACAAGCCGGAGATAAGACTGCACAGGGCGGGTATGTGTCTGACTTTCATGGCACCTTCCGTAAAGCAGCACATCGCACGTTACATGACACGTTACATGACACGTTACATTACACGTTACAGTACACAAGTTACAATGCAGAGTGTTCCAGCTGGTGCCAGTGGGCGTGTCCAGAAGGGAAGTAAGCCTGTTCTTCTTCCGGTAAACTTTCAAAAATAATTGTAAAGCTTTTAAATTGCATTTCAAATGGAAGGGGAGTCATACAGTTCCGCACCAACATAAAGTAAATGGTTTATTTATAAATTCAGCAACTTCTTTTTATTTCTTCTGAACGTAGTCGCGTTAATTAGTAATGTAAGCCACTCATTTACAGCAGAACTTCACTTCCGGTCAAATTTCAAAATATAACGTTGTTTTTAAGAATTTCATGTTTTATTCGTAAAATGGAAGCACTTCTTTTGAAAACTATTTTGCTCCTTGACCCATTCAATGTCCTCCTCTATAGAGGACAAGGGGTCAGTATTTATGTAGCACCCTTCTAGTGTTGATGACCACTCAAAGCCCTTCACAGTACAGTGTTTGCCATTCACACGTTCATTCAAACAGAGCCTCTACATGCAGCACGTTCTCTACCACGTATTACATCACACACTGCCGGCACAGCAGTAACGGGCAATAGGTTCCGTGTCTTGTCCAAGAGGACCTTGTGCTTAGTGGACGACCCGCTCTAACTCCAAGCACTTATTTTATGTTGGTTATTCCTTGAACTAGTCACCTGTCTGTGTGTTGTCATTGTTTATTTGATCCAGTACGCAAGTTTATAGAATAAACTTCTTGAATTTATCACTTCCCATCTTAAAATCAGTTTAACCACACCCTCTTTGCACTGGATGTTGTTGACTCACCAGCAGTGACGTCTTGCTGTGTTAGCCCTCAGTGTACACTTCGATGCATTTCTGAAGCTTTGTTTTCGGTTAAGGAGAAGTTTTGTCTGAAACACAATTCTACTATGACATGGTATAAACAAGGTAAATGAAATGTGGCCTTTATCGTCTCTATCTGTAAGGAAAATGTTGCACTGCCTCAGCGTCACAAACAACACTTTGTTTTTTGCCATTTTACTAATTCTACAAACTTGGCCTGCATGTGTGTAACTTCAATCTCTTTGGAACTAATGCCAGTGTGGCACAGCTACCACCGAAGGAGCCTTGCACAACTCCACTAAGTCTGCTTACAGTGTTCATTTTGGGTCTTTTCATACATTTTTGGACAGGTAAAAAAGTTTTTTTAAAGGTTTTTCCGGCTCTATCAGTAAATGAATGCTGTTCTCTGTGTATAGCATTCTGGCTGCGCACTGCCAACTGAATCAAGCGCACTGCCATCTCCTCTGGCTCTCCCTACATTGTCTATGTTTACAAATTCGGTTGTCTTTAGTTGGGGGCAGCAGAGTCAGTGTGTATGTGCCATTACCTTTCCCTCAAGTTCTGACACTATCGTACAGGAGCTAAGTAAACCGCCAAGTTGCGGTAATATGTTGCTTTATTATAGCGGTGAGAAAAGATACATACTGTCACAGTCAAACCAAAACTTGTATTTGATTTCTCTGCTGCTGTTAGGATGACAGTTCACCGCTGGGGTTCATTCAAGTGTCCCAACGTCTAGTTCATGTGTAATCAGAGAAATGCTTTACCCAAAAAAAAACAACCCAAAGAAAAAAACGTTTTCCTATCCACTGTTACAGATTCAAGGCAGATCGATTTGTCCACACGGAAACCAGAGGTTTGTGTTGAGGAGAAGCAGATACAGACGGAATGTATTCCCAAGGAGGAGCCGGATGACACAGACATTCTGAATCCAGTAGTCACAGTTGGAGTGAATGAGGAAAATCAGATGCCAACTCAAGTTGAGACAGGTGGAGAGCACAGTGAATATGAAGCACCACACAACCCAACTCAAGTCATCACAGATGGAGAGCACACAGAACATGAGAAACTGTCCAGACACGAGCAACAACCATCTTCAGGATATACCAAAAAGAAAAGAAGGTTTTATTGTAATATCTGCAGTCAGTCTTTTCTGAAAAGGGCAAAAGTAAATTTGCACCTTGCAGTTCATGCGGCAAATGGATTACTGAATCCCACCAGTGCAGTGCTTGTCTGCATTGAATGTGGCAGAAAAACTAACAGCAATAGTCTAATGATCCGTCACATGAGAGTACACACCGACACGAAAACATTTGCCTGTTCCATTTGTGGCAAAAGATATAAATCCCAAAGAAACATGAAGGAGCACATGCAGACTCACACCATGGAAAAGCCGTACAGCTGCGAGATCTGTGGGACACGCTTCAACCGCGCTTCCAGCCTGATTAAGCATGTGAAGCACAAGCACAGGGAGGACATGGCATTTAAGTGCACACAGTGCAGCCAACGCTTCAAACTGGTCATCGAGTTGAAACAACACATGAGGATAGCCCACAACATCATCATCTCTCCCTGGAGAACTGCTGGATTGACAGCGCAGAAGCTAAAAAGCTAAAACCATCCTCACTTTTATTCTATTTTTAAAATATATATTTTTGGGGCATTTTGCCTTCATTAATAGGATGGTAAGCGTGAAATGGGGAGAGTGAGCAGGGAAGACGAGCTGCAGGGCTCAAGCCTCCGTATGGGGCAGAATTGATTCTTTTTAGGATTGTTTAAATCTTTGCAGTTGACATTCAAGTTAGTTCATTTTAATAGCAGCAGCTGGTGAAAAGTATGTAAAGCTGCAAATGCAAATAAAAAACATTACAAGTGCTTTACCTGTTGTACAAAATTTTTAAAGTTTTTCAAGACTTACTGAGTTTACTTGTTTTTCCTTAAATTCTGACAATTATACATAATTACTGGTGTTTTAGTGTTTTGTATAATTTGTTTTTTTATATTGTGTTTTTGTGTTGGACGATTTCAAAAAATAGTTAGCGTGTGTGCTGTATTCAAATTTGCAAATAATATGCCAGTTCTGCTGTAAAAGTGACCTACAGTGCTCGAGTGTACTGATTTGAGCTTGAACTGCACTAACGTTCTTTACAAATAAGGTTTGACATTTTGAACATGTGTTTGTCAATAAAGACAACTCTGACTACCCTTGGATAACGCTTGTGTTACCTTAACAATACATTGCCTATATGCTATTCGAGGTGAGATTCAAACATAGTCAATAGATTTTTGGCTGAAGTAACTAATCTGTCCTAACTCACATCGGTTGAACAATCATCCATGTCACTTTTACTCAACAGCCTTCCAGGATTGATGATTTATTTTTAAGGGTAAGAGGGGCAGTACACAATAAATCCAGAGATCATTTGCGGGCGTCCCCCAGCCAAACCAACTGAATGGTTGAACAGCATGCACAGTTTCAGTCGCACAAGATTTTCTTTGACTGCAGCCCTAATGGAAAGATGAGAGGCGTTGCAGACATTCTCAGACATGATTTGAAAAGAGATTGAGGTTGTGCATCGTATCAGCTAACATCAAATTAAATAAACACTGAAATACGATGTGGAGAAAATCTGCATTCCAGCATATTGTCTCAGACGTCTGAACGCCTGATTCATGTTCTGTACATGTTGAGGGTCATCACAAGAGAACACATTTATATATCCAGTTACAGATACACATATCCTTTAAATTCACTCCTTAACACGAAAAACTCAGTCGTCACTGTCATGTTTTTGTTTCACACATTCACTCGAATGTCATTTGTCTGGTTTGTCCCTTAAGAAGATGGGGTGACACAGAGGCTGCTGATCAAAACAATCTCAAAGGTAAAACTCCTGATGGGTGTGGATTAATGGAGCACTATTTAGCGCTGATGTCTTTGTTGCATACCACACGAGTAATGCATTTCTGTTTCCATCCTTGCAGATGCCAAACAGCAAACTACACCGCCCACCACGGAGGAGATCCACCCCATACGGAGTCCAAGTGGGCACCAGGACGAGCCAGGACCCTCCCATGTCAAAGAGGAGCACAGGGAGGAATTGTGGATCAATGGGTGCGAGGAGCAACCTTCAGCTGAGGACAGCGATGATGAGGACTCCTTAACAAAAGAACTCATCAAAACAGTGCAGCAGTTAGAGGACTGCAGGGCTGCAGAGGAGAGCCAAGAGCTCGTGCAAAGGACTGAGGAGGATCCAGAGCCCTCTGAGGAGAAGACCAGCACTACCTTATACCGCTGCCACATATGCAACTACATATTCACCAAAAAGACTGTACTCACATGGCACCTCAAGACACACGAAAGCAAGTCACCTGACGGCAAGGGAAACTTTGACTGTCACATATGTGGCAAGCAAATCCCCTGTCAGAGCAATCTGCAGAACCACATGAGGGTACACACAGGGGAGAGACCCTACAGCTGCCACTTCTGTGGCAAGTGTTTCAAACTGAAAGGACACATGACAGAACACATAAGGACTCACACGGGAGAGAAGCCTTTCAGCTGCCACATCTGTGGCAAATCCTTCAACAGAGGCTCCACTCTGAGAAAACACGTTTTAGCCAAACACAAGGAGGAGAGGCCGTACAAATGTGAGGATTGTGACGAGTTGTTTACGGAAAGACTGCTGATGAAGACGCACATGCGAAAAGTTCATGGTGTCAAATTGTCCACAAGTACGGCCTAAGACCATCAGAAATCATTTATGATGCATGTGGTCTAAACTCTGAGCCGAGAATAGGGCTTAGTGCTAGCATCAGTGAGTTTCCATAACAATAACATTATTGTAAAAATCGTTTTTATTTCACATGAGGCCAGACCTGTCAAAGAACATGGATCCAGTAAAGTGTTATTATAAATATTGTATATTTATTTGTGAGTTAGAGATTGAGATCACTCATGTTTTCGCATTATGTATGGAACTGGAGTTGATTAGCTTAGTTTAGCATAAAGGTTGCAAATAGAGGGGAAAAAGCTAGCCTTACCCTGTTAATGATTTGGTGTGTATTCCACACACTCAATCTAGTGGTGAGGTTGCAGATTACAATCAAATGAACACCTCTTTCTTTTCCAGTATTTCAAGTAATGAAAAGATAAATATGAATATTATATTACATTTTTGCTGATGGAAATCCTCCTAAATCCTACACATTGGAGCTTTAAAAGAAAAGAATACACTTATCAACATTTCTAAAGGTCAACAATAAACCTTTTCCTCATTGCTCACTAAATTTGTACACTAATAACAAGAAAACCGTCCTGCTAACATTTTCCACTGTGACTTTTTGGAATCTTGTTGTAGAATAATAATTGTTTGTTAGTGTATATAGAATAGATTATACAAATATATATATATATACAGAGATTTGGAGAATAAAGACTTAATGTTACTAGAAAAAAGAAGCAGATTTACGAGAATTAAATTGTAATATTATGAGAGAAAAGGTGTACATTTACAAAATAAAGTCATAATATTACAATGTTAATTAAATGTAATTCAACAGTGAAAAAGTCATATTATGATAATAACAATGCAGCAACGGTCGTGCTCACAGGAATTTCAATCCAAAATCTAGAATCAAACCATGTTTCTCAAGAAACTATGAAATCCCTTTGAAAATAACTGATTAATAGATGTAAACACTGAGTCTCTGTGGTTCTTTCTTCAGAATAAAAACCATTTCTTTTAACTTACAAATATAAATCCATTCTTTGTTTAACAAACCATAATTTACAACTTAATCCTCTTCTAATATTACAACCTCTTTTTACTCCAATATTATGACATTATCAAATTTTCTGATATTATTTCCCCTTTGACTGGCCCTAATATTCCGGTGTACTTCAAAGTGCCATCTTATATTTGCACCCAAAATAATCTTAGGTTCATTAAATCAGATACTCTTTTTGAATAGAGAGCATACATGTAACAAGAGTGCTGTAAGACTGTGTGCCTGAGCCCTCCAGAGATTCATGGGATAAAAACAACATTCTGCTGTTTCACGCAGCTCTCGTGCATGTGCAAACAAGTTTAAGAAGCTGACTTACTGCCTTGCCATCGTTGCCAAACAGCACCAGGCCTGCTTTGGTTACGACGCCAGGTTGGCTGGCTCCGGGAATCTCCAGGGACTGACCGTTCACTTTGGCGTCCGTATCCATCAAAGAGGAGCCGTAGAAGGTCACTTTCTGCAACAGAGACACAGGACAGCACAAGTTTAGAGGAGACAATGTTTAACAGAACTCAGCAGGTGCTGTGTTCTCAAATGCAACTAAAGCCATTTTCAGATATAAACTCCAGAGGATGTCCGCAGAATTGGGCCTGGACTTTTTCCGGAGTTTGCCTTTCCCACATGAACAACGCCACAAGAGATTCTCCACTCAAACATGTTCACAGCAAAACAGAAACCTCCAGAGTGTTCAGGTGGAGGGGGGTGCAGCCGGCAGAGACAGGATGTAATGTATCAATGTATGTATTCTGCTGCAGAGATCATGTGATTTGGTTTACAGCAACACTGGTCCTTATCACCAATAGCTCTCTTGACATCTTCCGCTTTTTCTTTTTTAAATATTTGTAATATTTTTGTTATTTTCAGTTTTGCATCTGTAGCATCATAATTATCAATGCCCACTGTGTATCCTGCAGAGGATCTCCTGCTGTTTTCTCTGTGTTGGTGATTGTCCAGGAATATGAGAAGATGTTTGGAAAAAAGTTTTCTTTTTGATATTAAAGCTTAAACCATTGTTTTCTCAGCCCACAGAGTCAGTCCTAAATATGATATGCATTACATACTGTTGGAGCAGCTCAAAGTGTGTTAATTGTCATTGTACCATGACAAGCTAATACTCTCATACCTCTAGTCTAGTCTATACTTCAAAATTATGCGATCCTGATTTTTCATGTTTAAACATTTATTTATGGTCCAGGATAAGAGAATAGTTAATATAACTGCTGTTACAATCAGGCATCCAAAAACTTGATTCCAGTAGTGTTAGTTGTAGAGTCAGTGTGAGACTGTTACCTGTCCATCCACCTCTGCCCAGGCACCAGGCACTTTGTCGTTTCCTCTGATCCAGTTGTGGATAGCCTCAGCCGTTTGGTTCCAGTCAATCTGTCAACAAACAGTCTATTATGATTTCCTCTCTTCCGACGTAAAGCACCAACATTTGAATGGCCACAGAGATTGCTCCTCATGTTTCAATGAGTGTTACAAAATTCTGGTCTCAGTGAAACGGAGCTGTATTTGACAATCACACGCCATCAATCAAGAATCAATCACATTTTATTTGTACAGCCCATATTCACAAATCACAATTTGTCTCATGGGGCTTTCCAGAAGAGAAAGAGACTCATTCAACATAAATATAACTTACCAAAATGACATCCCTCTGTCATAAGTAGACGGTTCTGACTATTTCAGGTCATTAGGATGCCATGTATATATGATAAGATGCTTTATGTCAGAATACATGTATACCTACCTTCCTATACCTCTATCATTATTATTATTACAAAATGTTATTGAAGAAAAAGAACTGTATCACCTTACTTAAATATTAAATTACATATAAAGACCCTACGTCACCTTAGAGTTCTTCAAAAGGATTGTATGTCAAATGTAACCTTTTAAGCTTAATGCTTAAAACTATAATCAGGTGAGAGAGCATCACCTTTCCTTTAAAAGTCTATTCATGGGGACCCAATGGTTAGGGCATGTATGCTTTGAGCAGCAGATCCCCTGCTCTACCATTTACTGCCTCCATCTCTCTCATCCCTCTCTTATCTCATATCATGGGCCGCTGTGGCTCAGGAGGTGGAGTGGTTTGTCCACTATCCGGAAGGTCAGAGGTTTGATTCCAGTCTCCCCCATTCAGCATCCGTGGGCAACTTTACGTGAGTGATGATACAGAAAATACTGCACATGTAGATGGACTGTATGAATGTGTGTGAATGGTTGAATGTGAAAACTACTCTAAAGTGCTTTTAGTGGTGATCTATAGAAAAGAGCTAAAAAAAAATACAGACCATTTACCACCCTCTCAAAACAAAGCCAAAAATGCCAAAAAAAGGTTGGATTCATCAGATCTTATTTTGTTTCCCTTACATCAACGATTGTCTGCTCAAACATCACCAGCACACAGGACTCCACAGCCATTGATGGATTACACAGACTCTCTGCAAGCTGGACTGAAGTGACCTGCCCTTGAATATTACCTTAGCATTGTCTTTCTTCTGGATGCACTCGTATGTGGCTCCCTCCTGTGGCTGCGTGATCCTCGGGGCCTTCCCCTCTGCGATCAGCCTCACTGCCTCCACCTGGAACCAGAGCAGAGTGGTAAAAACATGAACACAATCACGTGGACTTTGTCCTCACAGTGTTTGTCATGTTGGGAAACTGTCTGCAGGTATCTGGACACAGACGAGCAGGAGGATCCATCAAATGATGCTGATTGAGTTAGCTTGAGTAAGTTGTAAGTTGAGCAAACTTCAATCAATAAACAAATAAATCAAATGATTGTAGACTTGATGTTTACCGTAATGAATTGCACATTGAAAGGCTGTTAACGAATGGAAACCAGTGATTGCTTGAAACAGTAGGTTAATAAAATGACAACAGCATGGGAGGAAGGGTGAGGGAGTCTGAGAATATACTAGAGAGAGACAGAGGGACAAAGTCCACATTAGGAGGAGGCTGGTGTGGATGGATAGGTCAACAAAACACAGGACTTTGACATGGACTGAGATTGTTGTCTGTTTCCTCTTCGATAACAACAGTCAACATTGTTTCCTTTATTAATGACTTACTTCAAACTAAACCACATTTTTTTCTTGAACCTAACCAAACAGTGATGGTTGCACAAACATGACAGCATGTTAATTATTGTTACCAGGATGAAAAAGGTCCAAATAGCCTGCCGCTCCTATTGTAAGAAGTACAGTTTGCCATTCACACACATTACAGTGCATCTATCAGCAGCACTTTTTTGTTTGAGGGGCAATTCAAGGTTCAGCATCTCCCCACACTTCGGCATGCAGATGGTAAGACTGGGGATCGAACTGCAACTCTACCCCTCAGCCACAGCCAAGTGACCTATGTGGTGATTTATTTTGAAGTACTTCTTGCATCTTTATATTTTGAAGCTGCACTCAATATTTTAATGGCCACAATGGATCAAATGAGCAGTTTTTAAAGATGTCAGGTAAGAAATATCACATGACTCAGCAGTTCTCCTCAGCTCAGTGTGTTAGTGTCTTTCAGCTCACTGTTTTTTCCCCCACAGCTTTATTGTTCTGATTGAGTTGACCTGCTTTCCCCAATATCATATTTGACAGGAGACAGCTGCTCTCAGTGAAAAAACCTGTGACAAAGCCACTGTGCACTCAGCTAAAGAACATAGTGGAGCATGTGGCTTCTGAAGAGACCGACTTAATCTGATTAGCCAGAAACATAATCCAAGATGAATGCTAATGTTGCTGCATGCCGGCTGCGTAAATAGGCAACAGTTGGTTAATATGTCAGCTATATCACATCCATATTCATGAGATATCCCAATGAGTCACAAGTGTGTTTTGCATTTTGCTGTGTGAAAAAGATTAATACAACTTTTAAAGTATGTTAAATAAGTTAAGATGTCCATGCTCAGTGGCTGAACGCAGACTAAACTGTTGATGACGGCAAAGTTTAGACAGAAGACACTTTTTAAAATATAAAATATGCTGCAGCATAGTGTTTATCAGCTGACCGACTTTAACCTTGCTGGAAAAACAGAAGCTTGTTAAAATGTAACTGGCAGATGAGAGACTGGTTTGCAAAGAAAGACTCTTGAAACCTTTGCTGTGTGTTCACATTTGAGTTGTGATTTAGTTTGGACTTGTTGTGAATGTGTAAGTTCTGGTGATGCATTTATAATTTTCTCTGCATACCCCTGCGTCTGAAGCCCCTGCTGACATCTTCTACTTCAATTAAGCAGCTAGCTCAACCTCCACAACCTCAGCACTACATTAACTTAGCTTGTGCTCTTTCTACCCACAATGCTTTGTCCCCTCACCACACTTACTGTGCCCTTGACTCCCTCTGGAAAGAGGAACCTCTTGTAGATTGTGTTGACAGTGTCATTGGGCTCAACATCGCACTCCCTCTGCAGCAGGATTGGTCCGGTATCCAGTCCATCATCAGCCCAGAACACTGTGAACCCGCCCTTTTTGTCCCCGTGGATCAGGGTCCTGTGTGGCCAGAGATGACAGATAAAAAA